AATGCAAAGAATATGCACAGCTGAATCATCAGGAGAACAAACTTGCAGCCACTTACGGAAGTGAACTTCACACATATCACAGCAACGTGTATGTATGTTACCACACATCTTGTGCCATGGCATACCCAGAATCTGAATGCGTAACTTTCATCTTCAGGGAAACAACAAAATACCTTGATGGAGGGCACCACTTTCAGCAGCTTCTATAAACGGACTATATTGAAGACATTTTTTGGATGTGACTAGAACCTCGAAATAGATTGTGGCAACATATCACTCACTGTCTTATCTCCGAGATACAGCTTAATCAGGGTCCTGTCCTAGAACAGGCTGCAAATAAAGGAATAAACCTCTCTGTATTTACGCATTTATTTAGTTAAAGTGGCAATCTAATTAGAACAGAAACTACTTTCAGTCAGTAAGGATTCAAATAATCACATCTAGTTATGATCTGTCCACATAATCAGTATTATTACATATGTAGGGACAGGTATGTTAGAGGCCAATGCAATGTTAAATATACATAAAAACATTTTTCATTAAAAGTATCTTGAAAACATCTTGCACTACAGATTTTAATATTCATATGATCAGATGCATCATCCCAGCATGTTCAGCATACAGATGGTCCATTAAAAAAACATAAAAACTCTATGGTTTTAGTCCGCAAGTGAACTATACCGACCAAGCGAGTGCCGCTTGTCAGCAAAGTATTTCCTTGAAATAGCTCAATTATCCTCATGAGGCTGAGTGGACCCCATTTCAGACCCACTACTCAGAAAATCTGGTAGCACCAGGAATCTAACCAGAACCTCTGGATCTGTAGCCAGGAACTCTGACCACTACCAATCACCTCTTATATATCTCACTGAATATGGCATGTGTTATGGAGAATTTAGATACAAACTATAGAAATAGGAACATCTACATTCTATCTGACAGCCAAGCTGCATTTAAAGTGCTTGACAAACACCAGATCGACTCAAAATTGGTCTGGGATTGCCACCAAACTCTCATAGAATTGGCCAAACACAACAGGGTACAACTGATATGGGTGCCGGGGCAAGAGGGTATTGCTGGAAACGAAACAGCAGACCAATTACCTAAGACTGGAGCTGAACATCCATTCATAGGACCTGAACCAGCCTGTGGCATCTCTACAGGAGTTGCCAGAAAGGCAATCAGGGACTGGACAAATATGAAACACAAGTAATACTGGAGATCCTTGACTGGACTCAGGCAAGCTAAGGGACTCATACGAGGACCCTCTACTAAAAGAGCGAAGGAACTGTTGAAGTTAAACAGGAACCAGCTACGATGGGTGGTGGGACTACTTACAGGACACTGTCACCTTTAAGGACACCTCTTCAAACTGGGACTAAGTGATAGTCCCATTTGTGAGAGGTGTCAAGAAGAAAATGAAACAGCCACACATATCCTGTGTGAATGTGAGGCCTTAGCTTATTTAAACTATGTCACTTGGGTCAATAATTTATGGAACCAAGCGACTAGTTTGATGCCCCCATGTACAAAATCTTGCACTTCATTGAAAGCTGTCTCTGAAGTTTTAATGAGCAAATCTGCATATTATGGATTGATATGCTTCAGCACCAACTGTTTCTTAAAAGAATGGTCCTACAAAAAGAAACAAACTCCGTGATTTTCGTCTGCAATTGAACTGTACTGACCAAGCAACCGCTGCCTGTTGGCAAAGTTAGTGCTGATTGGCCCTACAGTTCTATGATATAAGATCCCCACCAGATGCCTATCTTCTGGGGGTGCAAGGGCATTTCTTCAAATACATTAGGATTGGCTCTCAAAATTTCTCTATTCTGACAATTCACACACCTGCTGATGTGGATCTTGGTTTTGTCCTTGAAGACTGTAATTCAGAATGTCAATCCCAGTAAAGATGAAGTGCCCCAACCTTCTGCAGCTATGTAATCTCTTATTACTAGCTTGAGGCAAAAGAATATCCATGTAGTAAAAGTACAGATTCAAATGTTGCCTAAGTAATCTGTATAACAACCCACTGTTGGCTTAACTTCTCAAGGATTTACTTGGGAGGTCATACATATATTCTATTAGGGTTTGGTTTAAATGGACCATTCTGTATAATAAGCAATCTAAGTGGTGGTATTAAGATGAATAAAAAAATAAACTGACTAATAATACATATTGTTCTAATTGCCAGTGTCTTTTATGATAACATCTTCACCTCATGTTACCATTTTGCATGCCATCTAACAGTTTCAACATGAAAGCTGATAGGTTCTAGCCACCTCAACTGCAGCAGTGTTCAGACCACAGCAGGAAGGCCATGTTGGCTAATGGGAGCCAGCATACATTTCTTCTCCCAGTGGAGAAGCACAACTCAAAATCCCTTTCAAAAATCCACAGTGCATAAGGTTCTCTGTTCAGGAAGTATGTCTTCTACCACAATTTACGATCCTAGACTTCCATTTTCTGAGTGGCATCATAACTGTGTCTGCTACTTGAGAAATCTCGTCAGATCTGAGGTTTTTACAGCAGTGATTATGAAAAGTTGTATCTTCTGGGATATAATGACGTGTAGGTAAAGTAAAGGTATCCCTGTAACAGATTGTGGAGGCCCATAGGGTTGTGAGATGATGAGCTTCCCACATTTTCTAGACAATCGGCTCATAGATGGTGACAAGGTTGCCAGCCCTACGCGCCGGCCACCTTTTACCCCCAAGAATATTCCTGGTACTCATTTCTGTTAGAGGCTGAGTTGACCCCAGGGCCATAGTGCGGCTGGAAGGATTAGGTCAATTGAAAAAATCCAATGACCTCATCAGGACTTGAACCCGCGACCTTCCGGTTTGTAACATAGTGGCTCAACCAACTACGCTACAGTGTGCCCCTTATAATGACGTGTAGTCCACCAAAAGTGGACCAATGTTTTGGAGGAACATGTTGCCTACATCTCTAGGGTCAAAGAATCCCAGAATATATACTCCATACCATCACACCCTATTTCTTCAAGATCCAGGTCAATATAGTCTGTGTCTAGGTCTCTAGAATGGTTTCTAACCTAAATGTTGTACATAGTCATCATCCCCTCCAAATGTGCTATTTTGGCTTCCCATCTCACCCTCCTCCATTTTACCACCACACCAAAATTTGATAAATAGTGTGTCTGCAGAAGTTCCTCAGTTTTTCTTCATTCTCCTGTGACATTCTTGTTTTTACGGTATGCTTCTTCTAGGGCAATAAAACCGTGCCACTATAGCAGCAGAATGTGTTTGCTAAAGGGATAATGAGAAGCTGCTGCACATATTATTCACATATTCATATAATATTTTCTATTATGCATTACAGCTCACAGAAAAAAATAAGCAGATTTATAAAATTGTAGAAACAAGTAAAAAAACAATGAATGTTGCGAGACAAATAAGGCAATAAGAATAAAAATGGTCATTCTGTAAAAACCACAGTATGTAACATCGATACATAAATACAGTAAAAGCCTCATTTCCTCAGTTTATGGTCATACTTCATCGAATGTTAAATTTTAGTGGTGTCAAGTCAATAATCACTGTACTAAATTTGATTCATCTAAGAGGTTTTTTTTTTATTGCTAGTGGGGTGGGACTCAGTCCCTTGTAATGCGGCCACTTCTGGCCTATTGTACCAGCCCCAGACGATAGGTGAGGGTGGAGCAATTGGTGGAATGAAGATTGGCAGGGGAAACTGAAGTACTCGGAGAAAACCTGCCCCAGCGCCACTTTGTCCACCACAAATCCCACTTGACCAGACCTGGGATCGAACCCAGGCCGCCACACTGGGAAGCCAGCGATTAACTGCTTGAGCTATGGCGCAGCCTTCAATTCAGAGGTTACTCAGTCTAATGTACAGTTTTTCACTAAAGAGAATTTTCATGGAAGTTTCACCATATATAAAATGCACTGAGGCAGAAACAGTGTAATAAACACTATCACTAACACTGGTCACGATGACGATAAAGTCTGCCTCTGAGGTTCTTACAGGCATTAGCACATTTTGTGAATTGCTATTACCTGTACATACAGGGTGTTTCACGACTTTAGGGCATAACTGCAGGAGGTGATTTCCTAGGTCTTTGTGATCAAAAAAGTTCATATAAGCATGTGTCCGATTTTGGACGGTTACGGAGTTATGACCGTTTTAAACTCAGAATAGAAGGTAACGACTACTGACAAGAAACAGAACAAAATAATAAACCAGCATAATACATGATACATTTAAAGTATGAATGTAAAGTTATCTTTTTGAAATTATCCTTAATTTGAATTGAATGGTGCTTAAAGTTGATTTTCGAAAATGCCACCACTGGCCGCAACACAGTCTGCCGCTCAGTTGTGAACCGTGCCGGACATACCAACCCACTCCGCCTTAGGTAGCTCTCATGTGTCGAGATAACAAGAACGCTCTGTCTGTAGGTGGCTAAAAATAGCGACCTGCCAGATGACAGACGCAGTTCATACGAGGGCGTGTACGGGAATGAAAAAACGGTCGTAACTCCGTAACCATCCAAAATTGGACACGTTTATATGAACTTTTTTGATCACAAAGACCTAGGAAATCACCTCCTGCAGTTATGCCCTAAAGTCGTGAAACACCCTGTATGTAGAAACATGTTCAGAATTCTAAATTTTGTGCCATATCAACTGAAATAACTCAAGTTGCACCACTATCAGAGGAGATTTTTAATCCTACACAAGTTATTCCCAGTTTTACTATGCTGGCTGGCTTAACTTACAACTTCATGCCACAACCTCCACTTTTACTACATAACAAAAGTTTCAATGGTGTAATCCACTCAAGATAATCTCATTTTTCCTGTAAAATCAACATTATTTCTATGAGAATATGGACAACTGCAGTGCAGGAGTTATTAAGGACCCACTTCAGCAATCTTAAAATTACTTTTTAATCACCAACGTAATTTATAAAAATGACATGTTTTTATAATATGTACACTTACCACAGCACTTCTGTTAAATGTCAATGATCACAAAAACTTCACTTTTCCCTTCATTTTCATGTACCTGCATGTTTGAATATGTTATTGCTTTCACTTCAGTTCCCTGAGGATGCTTTCCAATCTGAAATTCTTCACCATATGCAACAGCTTTGATGCGAAAATTAGTTCTATCAAATTCCACAATGCTCACCTTCTGTAATAGAGAACTTGTGTTAATTTCTTTTCTAGGTTACATGTATTTAATGACGCTTTCAATATTGAGAGACCGCCTCTGTGGTCTAGTTGTCAGAGTTCCTGGCTACAGATCCAGAGGCCACGGGTTCAATTCCCAGAGCTACCACATTTTCTGAGAAGTAGTGGGTCTGGAACGGGGTCCACTCAGCTTTGTGATTATAATTGAGATGGTAAGTAAAGTAAAAGTAAAAGTATCCCTGTAACAGGCCATGAAGGCCCATAGCGTTGTGAGACGTTGAGGGTCCCACATTATCTAGATAATCGGCTCAAAGATTGCAGTAACGCTGTCAGCACTACGCGCCGGCCGCGCTTTACTCCCCAGGAAAATTTAATTAATTCTTGGCATTCATTTATGTTAGAGGCTGAGTGAACCCCAGGGCCATAGTGAGCTGGAAGGTTGACTTGAATGAAAAAGTAGTGGCTCCAGCAGAGGCGGCCCGTGTATAGGCACTGCGGAACTGCAGCACCCCCAATTTCCACTTGATATTATTGATAACATTTATATAATGAGTCATTTTTTCTTTAATTCTTTCTTTATACTTGTACAATACAATATATAATCCTTAAGCTTAATGTCAGTAGCCAAATCTTTGTATGGAACTGTGCGCTTCTGGACAGCACCCCCACTAATTTTAGCTACGACTCGCCACTGGGCTCCAGTCTAGAAAACCGAAATTAAAGGCTGTAGGGATTGTTTCTTATTGTAGAAACAAATATTGTAAATATAAAAAAGGCCTAGCCAATGCCCATCTGGCCTGGCCGTAGGGATTCGTTGCACTGACCACATGACACCCTCTATCTGCTAAAGTTGGCACTAACTTTACCAATAAGGAGCGGTAGCTCAGTCGGTATACTTTGATTGGAGAATAGCCACAGAGTTTTTTTTAATATTAAGACTGTAGCATAAGATGCTGGGATGGATGAAAAATTATATGGGATTTTGAACGAAGTGTGAGGTTCCATCCCAGCATTTCACTGGAGGAACTCTTGGAAACCATAAAAACCACAGCCACAATAAGCCAGTGTCTTGTTTGAGATTTGGACCAAGCATGTCCCAAACACATGTCAGAGCATTGCTGTTACATCAACCTGCCAGGTTAGCATGATAAAGACATGCAAAACACTCGTGGGTCAAACATTACAGCAATTTAGACTATGTATATTTCTGAAAATGGTATGTAAAAATAAACTTGGCTGTTGTCTTGGATACTGTCCATTGTCAAGGTTTTAGAAACAGCATTTTGGAAACTGGTTCTTTCCACAATGAAAATAAATATGTGTTCATACTCAATTTGGGCAAAGGCACACTAAGGAAACAGGCAACCAAAACTAAACTACAATTTTTTTATATTTGTTATCAGCCTGAATTGAACACATGTTACTGGATATAGCAGCACAAACTGAGGAAACTCACTCTATAAGTCCATCCAAATGGGAACCCTTATGTACCCTATATCTGATGGAATACATATCCAGTTTTTGAAACACCATGTTCAGAAAAATTAAAGACAGTATATGATGTCCAAATTAACAGTCATGTTTACTGAATTCTAAACTGCCAGATACAATACAAATAAAGGCAACTCAATAAAATGTAAAATCTGCTATAAGTCCCTTCTTCCTTCCTCTGCATCAATACCACTGTACCTGAAACATCATTCCAATATAATTTCATCTGCTTCCATTATCCAGCGTCTGCAAAACTGTATATATACACAGGGAAGTCAAAAATTATCCGCACTCCTGTTTTTCCAATCCATACGTACAAAAGTAGGGGTTGAACAAGTACTTCATTTTTCTATACAGTCTCCTCCCTTTTCGATGCACTTGGTCCAGCGGTCCAAAAGGTTGCATATTCCCTCCACGAAGAAGGTTTTCTGTTGGTCATGCAACCATTTATGCACGGCTTCCCCCACTTCTTTGTCCGTAGAAAATAAAAAACCTCGTGACACATCTTTGAGCGGTCCAAAGAGATAATAGTCGGTAAGGGCAAGATCTGGGCTGTAGGCAGGGTGTTCCAGCACCTCGAAACACAAATGGTTAATTGTTTCAATGGCCTGGCCCTCCTTGTGTGAGTGTTCATTGTCATGCAACAACACTTTCTTCAACAATAGGCCCTAGCGTTCGGTGCGAATGCTGGCTTCAGACTGTTGGCCAGCAAATCACTGTATCTTGCACTGTTGAACGTACATCCTTTTTCCAGGTAGTCTTCCAGTATAGGCCTTTTTGAGTCCCAAAAATCAGTTAGCATCACCTTTCCCATGAAAGATCGAGTCTTGAATTTCATCTTCGTTTGCGATCCCGAGTGTTTCCACGCCATACTCTGGCTTTTGGGTTCTGGCTCATAGTGATGAACCCACATATGAATTTCAGCCCCTGACACACCTTCCAATCAGAGAAATCGGATCACTATTCTTTGTTAATCATTGGTGCACACTGCTAGCAGAGCAGCCATGTTTACACTGTCACAGCATCTAGGAAAATGATGCGATCAAGGTAAAACTTCGATCACGTGACCACAGTAGTACCAACTCTAACAATGCATGCGTAGGAGGCAATGTGACAAACCTAAAGATGTGTTATGGAGAAAGTGCGGATAATTTCCGACTTACCCTCGTAAATAGGTAATAAAGTGCTATTTAGCCTTTAAGAGCCGAGCGACGCTATATGGCGTCATTAAAATAAAGTTGAGGGGACAAATGATGCCATATGTCGTCGCGCAGTCCACGCGTGCGGCCGGCTTTTTAAAATCTAATTTTAATTTATAAATTCTTTTTCTACTTGAAGAATGCAGTCTTCTGGGATTTGGCACCGTGTATATGTGGTGTTAACCGACGTTTCGGAGGAACGTATCGCCCCCATCTTCAGGGTTGAAGAAAAAGTATAAGTAATTCTGCAAGCGACAACACCGTGAGACACGATAAAGCAGTCTGCTTTATCGTGTCTCACGGTGTTGTCGCTTGCAGAATTACTTATACTTTTTCTTCAACCCTGAAGATGGGGGCGATACGTTCCTCCGAAACGTCGGTTAACACCACATATACACGGTGCCAAATCCCAGAAGACTGCATTCTTCATAGTCACCGCTGTGAAAGCCTCAAATCTTACACTTTTTCTACTTATATGATTTTTGGTCACCAGCTTTATAAGTTGTCTCTCTTCCCACCTGCGTCGTCTAACAGACTGTTGGCTTCGTGTGGAAATCTTGGAAACATCCGGAAATCCAGTGTCCAACATCGCACTTCACGCACTTTGTCCGGACGGTTCTTCGTTTCCCACGCAAAAAGCACACACGACACCTCAATTGCGAAGTAGAGGAAGTCGGCCAGTGATGTGGTTTGGCCTCCTATAATCGAGATATCTCCGATAAAACGGCAGGGGTTCGACCCCTGGGCCGTTGATGGCGAGGTGGACCCCTTCCAGCATGTTCCGCACAAGAGCGAGACGAAATTCTCTGTGTGACAACAGGATGTAACTGTTCAGATCCAGGAGATGGAAAAATAGTTTATTTGTCCATTTCCAGGTTCGACGACAGATGCTATAACTGTTTGCCACAGTTTGCCCACAGCTCCACCTGAATAATTATTCACACTTCTCTTGCCATGCTGGTGTGGTAGTCCCCAGGTTGCCGACCAAGATGATGGTTCTTCATCGAAATCAACCACCAGTGATGTGGTTTGAGCTCCTATAATCGAGGTACCTCCAATGAAACGGCAGGGGTTCGACCCCTGTCCCATTGAGGGCGAAGTGGACCCCTTCCAGCATGTTCCGCACAAGAGCGAGACGAAATTCTCTGTGTGACAACAGGATGTAACTGTTCAGATCCAGGAGATGGAAAAATAGTTTATTTGTCCATTTCCAGGTTCGACGACAGATGCTATAACTGTTTGCCACAGTTTGCCCACAGCTCCACCTGAATAATTATTCACACTCCTATTGCCACGCTGGTGTGGTGGTCCCCAGGTTGCTGACGAAGATGATGGTTCTTCATCGACTTCAATTTCTGATTCACTTTCTTCCTCGCAACTCTCAGAGTCATCAGTACAACAGTCTGAATCGGTGTCATTTATAAGCTGATTCTCAATTTCAGCATCTTCCAAATACGAGGCCATGATGGACAGCTAAACACAATGCTAGCCTTGAACGTTCTGACACTGCTCGGCTATATTTCAAAACAGACTACTTCTTGTTTGGCTATACGAGATAAAACAGTCAGTGTTTCTGCGAACGAGTAGACATCGCCCACACTCGTTCATACCGAAAGGAACCTACGAACTGGAGCATGATGAACGAAGCGTAAACATCTGACTTTGTAGCAACACAAGCCATAGTTAGAACATGATGTCACCAGCAGGCATTCAGACTGCAGAAATGTTTTGTGCAGGAACTGTATGCATTTTTGTGCACAGACGTTCGAAACTGAGGGGAAAAATTTTTTTTGGCATCAGTGTAAAAATTTTTAGAGATTTTAAAATCGGTAAATTACAATAACTGACTCTATATTCTTTCTAGATAAACGCAGCATTTATTTCGTTCGTTTATCACAAAAATTGTAGAAATCACAGCATTTTGAGTAACATTACAATTTTTATTACTCTACAGCGGCGGGCATTTAAATTAACTCCGTCCCGCTACCCCTACCGGAATTTAAATGGCCGTCTCTTAAAGGTTAGCAGAAAAAGTATGACGAAAAGTCCTCATAACACACAAAATTCATTATCTTCTTACATATAAGCAAGTACTGAAGAAACAGTTCTTGTAATGTAATTACAGCCAGTAAGTGCGAGAGAAGCGTTATCTCATTGCCTCAAATAAAAACATGCACACTAAGGACCATGACAAATACTGTTCATAACACTCAACACTTTGTTACATACATAATTATGAATAGCTGGTCTATTAACATTAAAACCAAACCAAAGGGAACGAAAGGAATCTAATTCAGCAAAACAAAACTAACTATTCTAAATGCATATGAAAATATCATGTAAACAATGCCAACCCATGATGATAACACTAAGTTCTAACACATCATACCAAGAGGTGTCATTATCTGACAAGGAGTGTGTGCACTACAGTAATGAATTGTAAGGGGGAAAAAAAAAAAAAAATCCAAACCCAGTAAATCAATAATTTCAAAATAATGATGTTCAAATGGCCAGGACATCAAGAATATATTATTTACCCGTGCAATAAAAAATGGGTCCGCACAGAAGAGGAAAAGACACTCATCCAAGAAATGAAACAGTAGTGACAGCAAGTCATGGCCTTCAGCTACAACATCTTGACATTCTGATATCTCTACTGTATCAATTTCAGTCATGTAGCCAAACATTGCCATGGCACATTGTTCAAATGCTTCCTCCAACGTGTCACCCCATGCGTGAAGCCTATTGAGAGAAATATATCAGTTATTAAAATATTACGACACATTTTGTGTTATATAAACTATAGAAGTTCAGTAAACATTTACATACTGAACATCTGCTGTGTGATCCAAATCTGGAAAAAGAAAGAAACAAGTTTCTGGTAAGTCATACATTACACGCATCTTAATGGGAGATATGTATTAATTTCAACTCAAACAATTAAATGTCATCACAAAACTTGCAATTGCGCAATTTAACTTAACCCTATGCCAGAATATGTTGTGCATTAGCACGTTCAAATGACACAAAGGAAATAATACGATTTCGTATAGTACTTCTTATACATATATATATATACTTCTAACAATGACATTACATTCATATTTCACCGGAGGAATTTTCAGTTCGCCTTCCGTATACCTATCCATTTCGCACGCACGCTCCACGATTTGAGCGTCACGAACGTCACAGATATTCTATTTCTCCTCAGAATATCGGGCAGCAATCTAAGCTGCTAACACAGTCTTGTGTAGACTTTACTGCCCTCTCTTTAACATGATAAATACTTCCAACGACGGTAGCTCAGTCGGTATCAGGTTCACTTCCACGTAGATCGAATGATAGGTAAGAATCAATGTTCACTCTAACCCTGTTTTATTAATTCTTTGACTGGCGCGAAGGGTATTTAAATCCCACCCCTGTCCTGGCAGGCCGTTTAAGCCAAGTCGCTAAAATGCATGTGTTTACTTTTTTCTAAATAACTTCAACAAAAATTGGTTTTTAAAAACGAAATTTTCAGGAACTAATAAAAAGACAATATTTTATGCAAGAAATGTCTTTCCATGCCTTTTTAGTAGTTTTTCTTCGTGTGATAAACATTGAAACATGAAAGTTTGCAGAGAGCCACACCACAGCTCACACACATGACACTTGTTTCTTTTCTAATCTTGTGCTTACCACACACGCAACACTTTCTCGTGGCACCATTCTTCTTCTTGTTACTGGGAGGAACATGGACCAGTTTGTGTATTTTCAGGCCACCCTCTAGACGATTTGCTGGGTCTTTCACTGGTGGTCTTTTCAAGGTCACGGGCGGAGGCGTGACTGCACTCGAGTCTCAAGCAATAGATTCGTCATCCACTTCATTCTTTGATTCTTCTCCCTCTCCACACTGTTTGTTTGGTTCTGTCATTTTTTCTACACAGTCCAATATAAAATCTTTGAATTTGTAATTTCTTTTCTTGTATTTTTCGTTTGTTGTGTTCTTTTTGAATAGAATGAAGCTATTCAACGCTGCCATTTGCAACAAGAAAAACACCCGTTTCTTTGTCCACTTTACAGTTTTGCGGGAACAAGGATAATAATGGAGCATTTGATCAGCCCTGTCAACCCCTCTCATATGTTTATTGTAGTCCCCAATTACCTCGGGTCTGCATATTTTTTCTGCTTTGCGATTCGTTTTTGCAGATTCCACGATTTTTGCTGTGTGAAGAGTGGAGATAAGTTTGACGTCTCTTTTATCTCTCCACAGCTGTATGAGAACCTGCCCCTTCCTAGAAAACACAGATTTCCATTTTTTCAAATATTTTACATGATCCTTTAGTTCTTTAGGGGCTCCTCTGTCCATTTTGAAGGTTCCACACACACAGGTATTTCTCTGTAATAACGTCTCACACAATTCTACACTATTGTAATAGTTATCCTGGTAGAGATGATACCCTTTATCTAGAAGCTGTGGCCCCAACAGATCGACAACTAATTCTTTTATAGGTCTTGATTTTCCGCAATAAATTTCAAAATTCCAAATATATCCACTTGTCGATTCACAAACAAGATAAGCCTTTATACCGTACTTGTCAGGTTTATCAGGCATATATACTCGGAAGATAAGACATCCTTTCCAAGCGATCATTCCTTCATCTATTGAAATTTCCTTTTCAGGGATATATGTGTTTCTAAATTTCCCCACTAATGAGTCTATAATTGGTCTAACTTTATACAGGCAATCTTCACAGTCAGCTGGTCGTGCATCGTTGTCAGCAAAATGAAGAAATTTTTAAATCTCTTGGAACTGCCGCAAATACATCTTTTGTCCATACCATGGAGGGTGAAATAGGGGCCTAGTGGACCAATATTCTTCAATTTCAGGGCGTTTGTTGATTCCTGTCATGAACACAATTCCTAAGTATGTCCAGATTTCATCTGGTGTGACATATTTGTAATTGTGTTCTCGAGAGTGAGGAGCTAACTCATGTGTGTTGAAGTGCTGGTAAGCATAGCGATTGGTTTCAGTTGTGATTGATTTACTAAGTCGTCATCCAGAAAAATTTTAATCCATGAAAAGGGGTGCATTTTATGTGTTATATCAATTTTGATCCCGGAACTACTAGTAAATGGAACTACTGCTGGTACAATGTCTCCGTACGTCCATGAGATGGGTGTGTCAGGCACCGCGTTCGTGGTAGGTAACTGTTCATGATTACTGTCTTGTGGATCATTGTCTATCATTGTATTAATGTCACTATCAACTTCATCTAATTCAGGAATCATTATTTCATCGCCACTATCATCATCAGCACAAATCTCGTTCACAACACTTTCCAGCTGGTCTGTAGGAACACTCCGATACTTGCTGCGAGAAGCCATGGTGAAACTGAATGAATGTGAAATATTTTCTGACCTTTTCCTTCTCGAAGGGTTCTGACAGTAATATAGACCCCCACAAAGTTAACAAGGGTTCCTTACAACCATGCACAAAAACTATCATATATATGTCTTTGGTTGATGAGTGCCAAGAGAGCAAAGAAGGGAAGAGTTTATCAAAGCGCTAAAACACGCCAACACCAGGGAACGGCTGGCATCATCTGGGCGTTAAAACGCACCCGCGCCAGTCAAAGAGTTAAGACTAACTTTTGACACACAAGGGCATTTTATATATATTCACACATATAATTAAGTGGAGGGATTGTTTTGGAAGAGACTGCGGACCTGTCGTCTGACAGATTACTGATGATGATGATAACTATGGTAACACATAACAATAGAGAGATTCTGTTTTTACGCACGTAACCGTAGTAACACATAAGAGTAGAGAAATTAGAAACAGCGCATGTAGCGCAGTTTGTTATTAAAATTGTTTGCTATGACGTTGCCAACTCTAGCATTATATTTTAACATTAGAGAGCTGCCAACATAACAGTTTGAACGTAACTGGAATTTAAAAACTTCATAGTATTTGGACAGCACCTACATCTAATGCAGACGTTAAGAATATGTGAAACTATACTTCCACTCTCCCATATATTGTCATGTCACAGTGCTTAATTAAACACAGGGATAGCTTTGCCTTTACCTCTTTACCCAACAGGGTTGGTCTGTTGGTATCTTTCATCTTTTTACTGATGCAGTTAGTTTAACTTCTGGGGTGTAGTCTCTTCGCTTTGTAATATTATACTGTGGCATCATGTTGTACTACTTTTCACTTATGTTAATTACTTCTACAGTCTTATATGCACCAGTTTACCAAAACTTATTAAATGCTAGTAACTTTAAAAGTTTTACAACATATTTCCACCAAAGCGGTCATCATCAGGTGTCAAAATTTGTGAGTGATGAAACTGCTGATTTTCTGCTTTGGTGCTTAGTTGTTGCAAGCAGCTGGAAACAAGACAAGAAACATATAGCAGCAAGAAGGGAAACACACATATGTACTAGGGGAACCATACATCAGCAACTAAGCATCAATGCAGAAAGACAGCAGTTTCCTCACCCACAACTTTTAACACCTGATGATGACCACTTTGGTCAAAACATGTCATAAAAAACTTTTAAATTGACTAGATTTTAATAAGTTTTAATAAACTGTTGCACATAAAACTGTACAACTAATTTTCCCTTCCTATTTAATCATAATCATTACCTTCAAGAATGGATGAGTGTGAATTCTGCACACAATGGAATGTTGGCATGAGGAATGCTTTCTGGCACAGCAGAAGGTGATTGTAGTGACCAAGCAGCTGCACAAAATCCTGCAGAGACACATTCTGTTTCTGGCAGACCACGCAACATGGCTTCTAACATGCCTGCAGCAAAACTAGAGAACAGATCATATCTGTTAGGTAGCACATCCTTGAACTATACAGGAATGTTATCTGGCATCATTTTCAAGTGACTTATGAAAATGTTGCTCTTCTTGTCACCAGTATTATTATTATTATTATTATTATTATTATTATTATTTTACTGCAAATGGGTTTTCACCTGGTGGCAGTGGTACTACAATAATACAACAGACAAATAACACAATACTACAATAAGATAACAGACAAACAACACACATAAACATGTTCAAACAAAACACAGGAAACAAACTATTAGTAGAAAAGTCAAACATACTATATAATAATGGATGCCATAAAAAAAAAACAAAAATAGATGAATGAAAACTACAGCTCAATTAATGATGATATATTTCTCCCTACACATATTTTAACTGCAAGTGTGCATAAACAATTCTGCTTTCTTCATTCTTCAGTTTATAACACTATAACACAGTGAAAATGTACAACTTAGCAAAGTGCTGGGCTGACCTGAAATGATGACAGTAAGACTGGATATTTTGCAGATTTCAGTGTATAAAACCTGCACAGTTTCTTTCATGTGACAAATCAAATAAGTGAATTAATTTTCAATCTGTGCATCTGAATTGAGATTTAAAATTGTTCTGCACAGAAGAATTGTTAAGATGATCTTTATTCGACACTTCACAAGGTTATATGTACTCTGAAAGGCTTTGTTTCACCAATGACAAGTTATGCTGCAGTGCTTGTGGAAATGACTATGTAGGAAGTAGACTGTGGTGCTCTCTTGTCATCGATGTGTGTAGTCTTGTCGCTACTCCTATGACAACCCACTTCTTCGGAACAGTTTGTTGGCCCTGAAAAGGACCGTGGCTGCTGAGATGCTTGATCGGAGAGGTAGCGCGGCGCGCGCCGGTAAGGAGAAAGGCTGGTTGCGGTGAATGGCTAGTGAAAAGGCTAGTCATTGAGCGCGGTCGTAGGAGCCATGAGGCAGTGGCTTCGCCAGATGCCCAGTGGGTCGGACCATAACACGACCACCGGCAAGTCCAGGCGCGGTGCCCCAGTGAGTCGGGTGTGAGAGCGCCGGACGTCCGAGGCAGTCGTGCCTGGCGCAGCCTGCCGATGTCTCCGGAGACCGAGCGCTGGCGACGAAGCCTGCTGGCTGAAGTTGCTTGATGTTGCTAGCCTGTAGACTGATGATGAACTGAACTGAATATCTCGGCTCTGGAGTCGCTCCCTTTTTATACGCTGGTCGATGGGGCGGAGCCAAACTCGAAAGTGAGGAGGAAGAATTGATTGGCTAGCGCGCGTAATGGTGTAGACGCGGGCTAGCGCCGAGCGTAGTATAAATGCGATCGTTTGAAGCAATCTGATTGGTTAGCGCGCGTGATGGTGAAAAGTGATGTGAAGAGCGAGCGTTGCAGAAATGCGTGATAATGTGGGATGTTCCCACAAGACATTATTGCCATGAATGATAGTTGTGAACCTCATCAATGAATGTGCTTCACTTTTCCAGGTTATCTATATATATTGTAACGTGTTTCGTTACCGAAGACGCCGTAGAGATCGTTAACTGGTTTATTGAACAATCTACAAATCACGGCTACAATTAATTATCACACAGTTGCGGGGTTTCACACTTTATAACCCTAATCGCATTAATCTGTTAACACTGTTGCGGGGCTTCACGACTTATAACCCTATGCGCAAATCAGTTCACTCTGTCTTCAGTAGTCTACACGTTTACAGTAGGGGAGCTAGGTATCGCTGTATCACACGCTCCCAATTACACAATTACACACACGTCCGGATCTTCTTTATATATATATATTTTTTTTCAGATTTGCTTAGTGGGGGGTGGAGTCAAACTGGGTCCACTTGGCACGACAGCCACTGATTGGCCTATTGTAGCCTGCCCTGGGTGATTATGATGATGGAGAACTTGGTGGAATGAAGATTGGCAGGGGAAACCGAAGTACTCAGAGAAAACACACCCCAGCACCACTTTGTCCACCACAAATCCCATTTGACCAGATCCAAGATCGAGCCCGGGCCGCTGCGGTGAGAAGCCAGCAACTAACCGCTTGAGCTATGGTGTGGCCAAGTTATATTTAAAATTTCTATAACATGGAAAATTTCAGTGACAAAAACTTAAGAAATGAAGAGGTTCTGTGAGAATTTTTTGAACTGTGATAATTGTTTAACCGAAGCATAATTATTCCCTTGTTCCTCAGTGTTTTTCAAAATAATATTTACATGTGATCTTATAGACATCCTCCCATCTGTTAACTTCAATCTAAATCTCACTCCTTGTTTCAGTTGTCAAATACTTATTGATGCAGTGAAGTCTTCTAGGGGAGTCAGCCATTTCAACATAAATTTTGAACAATTCAGAGATTGTCTTTTCCTCCATCATCAGATATTTATGATGTATACATACAACTACCCTTCATTTGGTGTTGACTGACAAACAAACACACACACACACACAAAGTTATGAGCAGGGCCCAAATTTTAATGACGTCATCTTTTTTACCTTGTATCCTATGCGATGCTCTTAAAATATATACATCTCAGATATGAGCTGCTGGTTACAGAAATGTAAATTTTATAGGTAATTTTTTGGTAAATTTTTGGACTTTTAAGGGAATTTCTGGTCATTTTTGACCATTTTAGGGAATTTTTCTTCATATGTTTTCTGAAATGTGAATAACATGGAAGCGAAGTGTTCTTTCTTTTCTCCTTTAAGTCATTTTTCTGGATTTTTTCAGTCATTTTATGGGTCATTTTTTTTTTAATATTTTCAGGTCATCAAAATTCGGGCCCTGCATATTACATTTTTGGGTCATATTTTAGGTCATTTTTCTGGAATTTTTTGGTCATTTTATATGTCATTTTTTAAATATTTTCAGGTCATCAAAATCCAGCCCTGGTTATGAGTAATGAATGATTTAATTCCCTTTACAGCATTTTCCTACTTCCTTATGTAAGGCTGTCACGTGATGTCATAATTAATCTCAGTTAATCGTATTAATGGTCACAGTGCATTACATTTTCCCCTTCACAAGTCACTATCCCTTTTCTGAGCACTTTCAATAATACTGTCACGTGTTGGGTATGTCCACACGTGACAAATAACTTCACACCATCTCTGATGTAGCGAATTTATTGAACACTCACTCTTACACTTACACAATTTACAGTGTCCCAATTACTGCCATCTGCAGTAGTCACTTCCTGGGTTCAACTGTCTTGAATCTATTCACTTGACACAACTTAACAATAACTCGTGGCTGCTGGACTTCACCTCATCTTTTTGAAGGCTGGAAACTGACAGCTAATGCTCAACTAACTCCGGCGACTGCTAAACAGCAACTCCGAATACTAACTGGCTTCGGCGGCTACTACATTTCAACTGAACTTATGATGCCTTCTTCATGTTCACAATTCACTCGCTACAACTGAACTCAGCGACTGCTAGACTTCCACTGCAGTGATTAGGCATTCCAGTTTCTCTTACAAACCCTCAGCTGGACATCAGAAAACCTACATCGCTTCCTTGTTGGGTGATCGCCATGTTTACCGATTGCCTAGCAACAGTCGCTGCATGGACTTGCCTGTTGTGTGACGTCACAGCCTAGTGGGGAGGGGTGTTTACCGAGCGCTGCATAGTGATGGAAGAGTGGGGGTATGTGATGTCACTAGTGGAAACGCAGAGTTCACATGACCCCTACTCCCTGTTGCTCCATCCTCGTTACAATACATATATGTATATTTATAGTAACTGTTCACATATCAAGATTAGATCAACCGAGTTTGATTATTTCCTTCAGGATTGTTTAAATGTTGTAATATTGCATTTTCAAATAACAATCCGGTCAACTGTCATGCACATTCTTCAATTCACCATTTAGAATGAAAGGCTGTGTTTACATTTCAGTTCATCTCAGAAATGTTCATTGAAAGACTGAACATTCAGTAACAATGCAATTTCTGGTGTGTGCATGGAAGAATACAAGGTGTGGCAATAAAGAAACCGGATTCATGCTCTAACCCTTTATTAAAAAAAAATCAGACAGTCGAAATGTTATCCCCTTCAATGTAGTCCCCTCCCCGATCCCTACACCGCTCCATGCGAATTTTCCACTGTTGGAAGCAGTGCTGCAGGTCATCTTGTGTTATGCTCTTCAAGAGTTGCGTCGCTTTTGCTTTCACTGCATCCACGGACTCGAACCTGGTCCCTTTCAGCGCAGACTTGATTTTTGGGAAGAGGAAAAAGTCGCACGGTGCTAGGTCCGGAGAATACGGTGGATGTTCCATCACTGGAATGTTGTTTTTTGCCAAATACCTCTTCACAGATAGCGCGTTGTGTGCTGGCGCGTTGTCGTGATGAAGAACCCATGAGGCATTCTTCC